CTGTACATACACCTCAATCTATATATATATATATATATATATATATATATATATATTTTAATCTATTAACGCATAAGATGGTGTATACACACTGCAAATAGCGAGAGATTGATTGTACAAGACCGGCTCTCGAACAGCACCCGCCACTTTGCTGCTGTTGCTGCTGCTGCTGTTGCTGCTACTGCTGCTGCTGCTGCTGCTGCTGCTCAGGCGTGTGTATCGAAGCCTCAGCCTCCGCAAGCACCCCCACGAGTGACGAACAATGCTTGGTGCAGCGTCGGCACTTCAACAGAAGTGTACGTCCCCAGACCAACGCAAATGTTGAGCGAAACCTTCTTCACAGATGTTCAATCTAATGTAAGTCAATTTAAACGCACCTCGTCTAGGGTTTAGGGTTTAGGGTCTAGGGTTTAGGGTTTAGGGTTTAGGGTTTAGGGTTTAGGGTCTAGGCTCTAGGGTTTAGGGTCTAGGGTCTAGGCTCTAGGGTTTTGGGTTTGGGGTGTAGGGTTTGGGGTTTAGGGTTTAGGGTTTAGGGTTTAGGGTTTAGGGTCTAGGGTCTAGGGTCTAGGGTCTAGGGTTTAGGGTTTGGGGTTTGCGGGGTTGAACAGTCGGCTTGAGAGTTCCTTCTGTCTTCCCTCTAGCCCTTAGGGTTTATTAGGGTTTATTAGGGTTTATTAGGGTTTAGGGTTTAGGGTTTAGAGAGAGTTTGTGCCCGTCCCCGCATTTTATTTATTTATCTATTTATTTATTTATTTATTTATTTATTTGCTTGTCTATTCGTTGGTTTTGTTATTTCTACCCTTATATTTATCTTTTGTATTTGATTAATATATCTCTATTCGTTTGCATGCATGCATGCATGCATGCATTGGGGCTGCACATGTTTTATTTTTCTTTTATTGTTTTGTTTGCCTTGCGATTTATTTATTTTTCTTTTTCTGTTTTTTTCTCTCCGGTGTACGTACAGCACAGGGTGTACACATAGTATTGAACTAGAGAGAGGTTTAAGTATTTTAATTATTTGTTTATAATTATTTAACTGCATTTATTTATGAGAAGAACAGCAAATATATTTTTGTTTGTGCTGCAGGCAATAGGGGGTACGAGTGCAGCAGCAGCAGACTCTGCTTCGTTCTTGTCTCAACAATCTCTTCTTGCACTTATCAATAATAATAATAATAATAATAATAATAATAATAATAATAATAGCAACAATAATAATAATAACTCTGTCTATGTCTTCTCTAGGCGCTCCAATGGCAGCAGCAGATAATTCTGCTGCCGTTGCTGCAGCAGCAAAATCTGCAGCTGCAGCAGCAAAAGAAGCAGCCCCAGCAGCAACTGCTGCGGCACAACACTGAAGATCTACTTATTGCTTGCAGCAGCAGCAGCAACAACAGCAGCGTTTGTTTGCCTCTTTGTAGTGTGAGTTGCTTGTGCTGCAGCAGCAGCAGCAACAGCAGCAGCAGCAGCAGCAGCAACGTATTGTGTTGATTTGTGCAGCGCAGAAGACTTCCGCCTCAGACCCCAGGGCTATTCAATTGCATGCATTTGTTATGCATGCATGCATTTGTTATTCTGCATGCATAATAATGCATGCATGCAGCCCCGAGTTGCGTGCATAATTGGCGCATGCATTGGGATGCTGTGAATACACCTGAATTGTTTTTTTGCTGCTTGCTTCTGTTTGCATTTGTATGCATGCACTTTAATTTCAACTGCATGCAGCTGCATGCATTGTTCTGCATTATTATCTGCATGCACTTGCATGCATGCATGCATGCATGCACTGTTCTGCATGCACTTGCATGCACGCAATGTTATTCTGCATACATGCATTATTATTCTGAATGCATGCATTTGCATGCATGCATTTGCATGCATGTATTTGCATGCATGCATTTGCATGCATGCATGCATTGTTATTCTGCATGCATGCATGCATGCATCGCGATTTATTGCGATTGGCATTTGTTTGAATTTATTTTGCGTTTATACACCTCAAGAACTCTTCTGTCAATATTTATATATTATTATACATTAATAATATATAATAGTATATTATATAATATCAATATACTCTACTATTAATATATATAATACATATATATATACATTATATATATATATATATTATATATACTATACTATACTAAACAAAGCAAATAATAATAAATAAAATGCTAGAAGACAGCTGCAGATACACCGCAAAAGAAGAAGAAAGCATATATTTATTTTATTTTAAAAAGTTTGTTTATTAGCGCTGCAGGGCAGCAAATCTCTTCATGAGATATAAACCCGCATAAAGACGATGATGTTATATTTTATTATATTTTATTTTATTTTTATTTATTTTGTTTTATTTTATTTATTTTGTTTTATTGTTGTTGTGCGGGTCCGTTTCCTATGGGCTGTCTCTTCACCTACAAAAAATTATTTGAATTATATATATATGTTTTTCTTTTGTTTGTTTATTTTATTTATTTAACAAATGTAAGTAATTAATTAATTAATTAATTTTATTTATTTTATTTTATTTTATTTATTTATTTGTCTCTATGAACTCTGTTGCTGGACTGTGCACAGCATCTGTGCATACACCGCAAACCTCCAACAACTGCTGCTGCTGCTGTTGCTGCTGCTACTGCAGC